TCTGTCTCTCTCTCTCTCTCTCTCTCTCTCTCTCTGTCTGTCTGTCTGTCTGCCTGTCTGCCTGTCTATCCTAAAACTCTGGCCACAGTGCAAGAAGAGTGGGTAGAGCAGAGCAGAGGGCGGTGCCACCGACTGAAGTGTCTTTAGGCCATTCCCAAGGGGGGGGCATTTCTCGTTCTAATGCACAGTTGAATTGTAATGGGCTGACCCAACAAGTCATGCTCATAACTGTGCCTGAACTACAACAGGGAAAAGCTGCTTTTTCTTCCCTGATCCTTACTATCGTCATTTCCCTCTACTTTTTTGTATGTTTGTCACACTCCTGTGGCCCGCTATTTCCGCGGTGCCTTCAGAGTCGAAGCAGACTTTGTGCTGTTGAAGCTGGAGATGTGAGCAGGGTAAGTCAGATTCCCTGTAAGGACCTCACTCTTGACATCCACCCCTTGGCGCTCATATGACCTTATGCAGTTGTGAGTGCCGTAAAACCTCTACATATACTAAAACTAAACAAGAGCGGAGCTGTTTGAGTTTGAGGCGTTAACGTTGGATAGCCACACTGCAAGCAGAGCGGAGCGGGCGGTGAAATGCAACGCCGTGTAGCATTATATTTTTCATATATATATATATATATATTAGTTTCAGTTGCCCATGGACAGGAAATAATTAGCGTTATTTGTCCTGGTCGGTGAGGAGACTCAAAAGAAAAGAGGAAGAAAGGAATGGGTGCACCCGATCCACTGACTGCAAATTCTTTCATAACTGAAAAAAGAGGGTATAGATCTAGTGAAATAAGGATCAGACACAATATAATAGGAGGGAGAGGCTCCTAATTTGTTTTTAAAATTTCTTATTAATTTCCTTTCATGCTTTATTCTGTTCTAGTGAAAGGAAATTAACGACAGAATAATCATAGGATCCTCAGCGTGCTTAAAAGCAAATCAACGTTAATATCTTGGTTTTGAAATATACAAAGAGTTTAAACACGTAACTAAACACACTTACTTACACACGCATAAGAACACACACAAATATACACATATACGCGCGCATAACGTAATATATTATACACTACAAACAACCTGTGTCTGTGTGATGTAGCCGTTAAGCACTCTGCTGTCTCACGTTAAAGACCCGTGTTCGATTCCCGAGTAAGCAAGAACTTTTTAAATCAAGTATTTCGTTTTTTCTGCTTAGACGTTGTATCTTTTTCAGCCAGGGTTGGTCCTGACAGTTGCGAGCAGGGGTCAGAGAGGAGAGCGTGTGTGTGTGTGTGTGTGTGTGTGTGTGTG